TCCATCGTGGGGCAGAATTTCTTCTTAACGTTTCGCAAACATGAGTGGCCGGCATCACCAGATGTGGTTTGCTTGGCGTAGCGCGAAAGCTCAACTTTTTCAATATTTTTTTGGTTTCGAAATTTTCTTTTTGCGAGAGGCAAAACTGTTTCTTCGTAGGTCAGTTTTTCCATCTTTGTTACATTAATTACACTTACAGAAACTTTTGATCTTTACTTACACAATGATTTTTAACAACTCCTGTCCTTACTTGCCTTCGCAGAGAAATTCGCAACTAAATTATTCCCGGCCGAGTTCGCATATAGGCCCGTTGACACAAACCGCCTATGCCTGCCCGTGGAAATTAAGGCCTACTACACCCCAAATCGCCGGTTATATGCCAATAAATGGTTTTTAAAATGTGATGCAATCGTGGTAAAAATGAGTTTAGGTATTTAATAGGTATTATCAAAAGGCCCCAATTGTTGAATAGTTCGTCGCATAAAGATGAAAGTTTAAATACTGCCAAGGAACTTGATAGTGTCTGCTCTGATAGCGGGTTTGGCACTGGATTTCTCTTTTTATATGCAAAAAATGGTCAACTTGTCGACAAGTTTGCGCCCCGAAAGGGTTGGGGATTTTCAGATTTTTTTAAATCGAGACCCAAACCCAACATCGGTTTCGCGCTTAGTTAAAGCTCTTTGGTGCCTCAAAAGCTTTTCTAGAAAACTGCGGTATTTACGTGATTTTTATGCGGCTTGAGGACGAAAAAACCGAAGGCAAAGCTTTCTAAAGCGATGAAAGCTTTGCGAATTTCCTCTATAAGCAGGGCGCACAAAAAAATGGTTTGACTAAGCACTTACCTTTTTCTCACAAACTGTTTGTTGAACAACAGATTTGAATTTGGAATAAAAGACGTGAGGAAATGCTGTCTTTTTTAAAGACAAACATTTTTGGGGCAAAATACCCAACAAACAGTTTGTGAACAAATGAATCCGCCTCAACAATATAGAACTTATCAAAACACTTACCTTTTCTGTAGCTGAATTCTGGGGCTCATTCTTGATAAACTCGATATGAATCATCTTGGCACTCTTGTTTATTTTTTAATTATTTTGCCAGAAGGTTGGAGAACCAAAACGGTTTTTTCTATTGCAGAATGGAGAGCCTGCAGGATCCGAATACCGAGCCGAGTCTACGAAAAACAAGGCGCGATCTTGAACTTCAGTGAATATCGAAGAGATTCTTTATGCGAGAAGAAGAAAGGTGTCTGCTACACGATCAAGAGATCTTGGGGGAAATTGGAGGTATGTAGGTGAGTGGAAGCAAGTGCCGTTGCCTTCGATATCGGAAGCGAGAGTCGGTGAAACGCTAAAGTATCTGGGTTTCGGCTAATCCTGCCTTTTAGGCCGGATTTATTTGATTTTCTCTTAAAGCGTGCCTCTGTTGCTGTAGGGATTTATCCATTGGCCAAAGAACTTTGGCAGCAAAAGGGGTAACTTGAGAAAAAACGTTAGAATCTTCAAAAAAAGTTGAAATTGCCCGGGGTGAGTTTGCATAAACAACCTCATTGGTTTAATCGAGGCACGCTCTTCAACTACGAACTCACGGGTCTAACAGAACGCGCTATCAATCAAGCCAAAGAGAAATTTTGACTTTGCTTACTGAGAAATAGAGTTTCTTAAATGCACAATGACCGAACAAGTACCGATAAAACGAAATGGAGTGGGTCAGTGCACTTTGTGAAATCGCCACTAAAATGCACTTTTTGGCAAAAATCGGGAATTTGCGGCCAATTAAACCGCTGATCTAAAGCCAAACAACCACATGAATTGGTGAGCTATTTGGAGCATTGCGGGCGCCCAAATAGTGCATGCATATCATCAGTTTCGTAATTTCTTACATCATCAGGAGCATTATTAAATATTCGCAAAAAGTCACAAACCAACTGGCCGTGCATGCTCCTAATTATGGAAATTGGGGACATTTTTTTGTTACCTTGGCGCGCTTGAAAAGCGATACAGTAAAGGCGATTTCGTTATTGTTCTAGCCACAATTGCCTACTTTGTTTATTTTTTATGGGCATGGATGTTTCCTATTTGCGCAATTGTTTGCCCGTTAGAATCGCGGCCGAGCGCCAAAATCGGCCAGGTCAGTTTCAACAGTAAACTTTTGCCAAAAACAGTTTCACGCGGGTGAAAAATGTTCAGGGTTAGCAAAACATGCGAATTTTTACGCCCAGCTTACGTTAAATACCATTAAGAAGTATTTAAGTTGGCCATTTTTTAAAAGCGACGGTTTATAGCGCCGTTAAACCGCCTTCCAGGACATGTTTGCTCGATTCCTCTGTCTATTGGTTTAAGAATTTCATGCTCAGCTTCGCAGAAATGCAGACACTGAACAAGGCGAAGGAAACCTAAAAAAGTCGTATCTCGAGCAAGATCATTAGCGGCGATCCAGTTCGTAAGGACGAACTTATTGCAAAAAAACACGTGAAAAAATGGTACCAACACGATCATGTGCATCTCCGCACGTACGCCCAAAGCGAGGAGAACAATCACCAATTGGAAAGAATCCCTGAACGGCCTGCCAGCCACTTAAGGTACCATAGAACACAACCGGATCTGCAAACTTTCATAATAGTGCCACATAGAAAGTAAAACCTTGACACTGCCAGTTTCAACTGAAAATGAAACAAAAACAACTTTCTTACGGTTCGTGGCCAACAAGTACCGTTCGCTAAACCGTGCCGAGTCAAAAGGTTGCATGGTCCATTAATAGACGCGCGTCTCTTCAATGCAACATTGGAGAGTTTCATTAGTTTATCACATTTTACGATTTTAAGAGTCCATAAACGGGACATGCTTTCCAAACAGCTGGTTCTCTGAAAATCGTTTAATTTATTACATACTGATACATTATTTTTGCCCAAACAAAGCGGCAAAAGGCATCGATATATTGTAAAATGAGGTACTAATATGTACATGAACAACTGGAACAAAACGCGCACTCTAAAGTAGAAAAACAACCCATACAAAAGTCCCAACTGTTTCCAAATTAACAACTTTCTCGCCTAATGCTTAAAACAAAAAAATGATCGACTTTCAATCTGTGCGTATCATGCAAAAATTGGTGAAATTGAACTGCTTATCAGACAACTTAACTTATAGAACAAGCTTAACAAACTATCGTTAAAATGTGAAGGATAAAAATGTCGAACCACTTGCATCCTTATTCTTTCATATGCAAAACTACAACAAATGACGTTACTATAAAATCAAAATGCCCTCCTACAATAGTTAAATAACAAAACAAAATTCGGCTCATAAAACAGCGTTGACGAAAGTTTGCGGATAAGAGCGTTTATGACCCTAAACAGTTCAACTCCAAAAATCTGCAGTTTTTTCCAGGTCCTTTCACTGAGTCAACTTCTCACAATAAAAGTAAACGTGTTATTCTAAATATCAGCCGCTCATATGAGGTTTTAATATCTCTCGCGGCCACCCCGATGTCTTTCGCCTCTATGCTTTCCACCCCGTTCTCGGCTGCGATCTCTGCTGTAGTGTTTATTCCTATTGGGACTTCGACTTCTGTTGTGGGTGCGATCTCTTCTATCGTGATCGTCACGAAATCTGAAACAAATAAGCGACGCTTGTAATGTGCACTTTTTGGGTTGAGCTTGGTTGCATCTTCAAGGGATGTTTACCTTTTCAACCTACCTGTCCCTATCTCGTCTCGTGTCTTCTCTTCTTTCGCGGTCGTCACGCAAGAAATCACGCCTGGTGTCTTCTCGTATTGGAGGCCGTTCGGTCGCTCTGTCCGGTCTTCGATCCTCTCTGGCTCTTTCCTGGGCTGCCTGAACGGCTTGAGGTGGGAATTTTTCCTGAAATTCAATACATCCCCGTTTAGTCTATGAGGGGAGTAAACAAAATCAAGTCACTCACCTCTAAAAACTTCTGAATTCTATGTTGAATTGGCACAGGTATTCGGGGAAACAGCGTCGAAAACCATTCCAGCTTGACCAGCCACTGTCTGAGAATCTGCCCCATGGTCATATTTTGGCCTCCGCCAGCTTTCACATCCAATTCCTGTAACTCGTTAATCACATTAAACATCATTGGAAACCAATTCAACTAGCAGCAGCTCTTTTTTAAAGCCAAGTCCAGCAATTTTTTTATTTTTTATTCGATAGACCGAAGTGAGTCCGTTTCGATCTCATTTCGGGCCACTTTGCGTTTACCTAGAAGAAAAATTAAAAGATAGGCACCACTCTACCTTATGTACGCACCTCTTCATCCTCCAAATACTCCTCATACCAGTCAAGTAATGCACTCGGAGGAAAAACGTAGCGAATATACATAAAACCAAGTGCTCTGAAAAATAATACACTCAATGAAGATTAAAAGTTCACATTCCACTAAGGAAGAAACGTGTAATGGGAATGAAGATCTTACCTTATGTAAGGAGAATCACAGTGCGTTATTAGACCATTTAGTTGTTTTCTAGTTAACTTAAGAGTAAATAACTTATACAGTAGACAATAGGCTGTTGAAACTATCCCTCCAGCTCCCACTCCTCTGACGCCTCCACACATCCCAGTTTGACCTGAAAAGTACGGCAATTAGCCACAGACAGGAGCAAAGGCTAAATAAACTACTTACCAGATGTTCTCCGAGACCCCTTTTCCCAAGGCTCCAAATGGCTTACTTTGTAATAGATTTCATCCACCACCTCGTGGTAGGTTTTAAGCTCGTATAGATTAACTGACGCAATAGAAAGGGGCTGTTTTAGAACAGCGTTAGGGCAAAATTGGGGGTACATCTTACCTTTGAAGTAGTGGGAACTTTGGATGTTTGTCAAAATCAACGCATTGAGGTTCATTGTTCTTTCGTTTCCATACAGAGGTAGAACGTTGCTTTGCTTCTTTGCCGCCGTCCCATCTATAGAAAAACAAGTAAAATGCTGGATTAGAAGCCCAGTTTCAGGAGAAAACAGTTTGTTTACCTTCATCTCCACTGTTGCTGCCTCGCTGGTCCATTTTGTTTAGAGAAGTGCCAAAAAAACTATAAATGTGATGAAAAGTTAAACCATAAGAGCCTGGTCAGCTCTAACAGTTCAGAATTAGCTAAAAATCAATTTGTTTAAGGATACAGCAACAAAAAGAAACCATGCTAGAAATACAGCATTGATGAATACCGAAATTTGCACATGTCAACCGAGTCAAGTGACAAATGGCATATGTCAAGGAGTCGTGTGTAGCGGTAGCCCCGTAATTTTTCTAGTGAGGGTCTTGAAGGTTGTGGTCCCGGTGTATGGCGCGCAATTTGAAAAATTTTTGAAAAGCGCGCCATATTTATGTGAGAAACATCTTTATTATCAATTTTACGAAAAAAATATCTGCCACGCTACCGCATAAATCATAGATAAGACACGTACAAAAGGCTTGACGAGAATAAAGATAATATTATATAAATGAAACATTGAAAGTACCTAGTTGATAAATAAAAAGCCTGTTTGGAGTTAATAAATTCGATTATTTTGCATTTTTCTGGTTTCATTCCGACCGAAATACGAGGGAGGTGATTTTCAAAAACTTAATAAAATCACCTTTTTAACGGCCATTTAAACACATGAAAATAGTTAGGCTACCGCTAGACGCGAATCGCGAATCCCAGGCATCAGAGGGCGCTTGGTACATTTTTGCGTTATGTTTTTTCCGAGGGACAGAAGGGTGCTCAGTGTGTAGAATCGTGATTTTTTCCGAATTTTGCCGCTTTCACACACAAGAACCAGACGAACCGAACACCCAATGAATATACCTGAAAATGGCTGACGAACAGGTGAGTGTGATCGTCCGGAAAGGCCATTTCGAAGCGCCCAAACCGCTTCAACACTCCACAATTCCACAGAGCTTTTTTCACCTTTCCATCTCTAATGTGCTGCAGCTGACGTTTATTGGCCCTTTGTGCTTTGAATTTAGTCTGGGAAGCGGGCAAGTTTCGGCAAACACAAGCCCAAACACGCCAATTCGGTATTTTCGTCCAATAAATGGTTATGTTTATGAAAATAAAAGTCATTCAATGGGTCAATCGGCAGAAGCGTTCAACATTGGACACTTCGCTCGTGTAAGTGTAGGTTTGGGTGGTTGCGAAGGGGCCCTTTGGACCGGCAGCCGTGCAGAGAATGAGCTTCTATGTGCGATGCACATGAACATGTTTTGAGCAGGAAACAGGTTCAAGCTTGCTGTGGTTCTTTGAAACAGTAGCCTTCTTGCCCCCCCGTAGTGGTTTTCCAATATCCACACTTTTTTAATCAATCGCCTTATTGGAAGGCGAGTTAGCATCTTTCACACTTTGGTCAAACCCCTTTTCTGTTGTGTTCAACTGCCTCTGAGAAGTCTTGCAAACAACATTTCCTGCTGTTTTTGTCACAAGTCTTGGATACAAAAACTAATATGTATAATAACGTGCTTATGCTCTTGTAGGGTGTACCCAATAAATAAATTTCTACTGACAAACTCTGGTCTTCTTACTTATTATAGGCCTGCGCCTGTTCTTCTACACACCACTCACGTCTCAGTGGAGCTTTGCCAGCCTTCTTTCCACCTCGTCGGCGGCATGCGCCCTCAGTCTCTTGGCTGCCGGCTCTTTTAATCAGTCTTTTTTATTACTTCTCTTAGAAACTCGTATTGTAACACTGTCTGATTCCTGTCATCCTATATGCAAATTTCCACTAACACCTACCTTAATTAATCAACTAAACTTCTAATGCTTAACGATTCTGTGGTTTTCTTAGGAAATCAGGCGGCTCGAGCTACTCTGCAAGCAATTGTATGAATCCCAGGACAGCGGCATCCGATCCGAAGCGGAAAAATCGTTAGTGGTGTTTCAGGACAGCTCAAATGCCCTCACAAAATGCCAAGCTTTGCTGGACAGGGGCGACTCTGCCTATGCCCAACTATTGGCAGCCACCACTCTGACCAAACTAGTCTCCAGAAGTTCCCATGGTAAGAACTTCGCTCATATGAAGCAACTCGTTAGATAATTGTACAATCTCTTCTAGGTCTGAGCGTTCAACAAAGAGTCGATATACGGAATTACATTCTGAATTATCTGGCCACCAGGCCCAAGTTGCCCACTTTTGTTGTACAGGCTCTAGTGACGCTTTTCGCTCGAATCACCAAACTGGGCTGGTTCGATGCCCACAAGGAAGAACTCTTGTTTAGAAATGTGGTGGCCGATATCAGCAAATTTCTACAGGTGTGTGTGTTCGATTCAAAGCCAAAACTGCTTGGTGAATTGGGATTTTTGCTTTGCAGGGCTCAGTTGAACATTGCATGATCGGCGTGCAGCTCCTTTCGCAACTCACCAGCGAAATGAATCAGATAACCGACATTGAAGCGAATAGGTCGTTAACGAAGCATAGGAAAATAGCCTCCTCCTTTAGAGATACGCAGCTATTCGAAATATTTAGGCTATCGTGTAGCTTGCTTAGTACGGCTAGAGAAAGCTGCAAGAATCTAAACTTCAACGATGAACATCAACATGGGCTAATGACTCATCTACTGCGGCTATCGCAGAACTGTTTAACCTTCGATTTCATAGGTATGTATTGAACTCTGTGTCTCAATCCAGCCTGTATTTCCGAATTGATCGCAGGAACTTCTACTGATGAGTCCTCTGATGACTTGTGTACAGTCCAGATACCGACTAGTTGGCGACCGGCATTTCTGGATTTTACAACGTTAAAGTTATTCTTCGATTTGTACGATTCGCTTCCCAACACGCTTTCGAATCTAGCTTTAACGTGTTTGGTGCAAATCGCCTCCGTGCGACGATCATTGTTCAGCAATACGGAAAGAGCAAAGTTCTTAACTCATCTGGTCAATGGCGTCACACATATCCTGAGGAATCCACAAAGCTTAAGCGACCCGGCCAATTATCACGAATTCTGCAGACTGTTGGCAAGACTGAAGACGAATTATCAGTTAGGCGAACTGGTCATGGTCGATGGCTATCCGGAGACTATTCAGTTGATCACTAAATTCACAGTAAGTAGATTAAGTAGCCTGGTTAAGGACTTTGTCAGATGAACAATTTCCCCTATTCTTCGTGCAGATTCAAAGCCTCCAGATGTGGCAGTTCGCGCCTAACAGTATTCACTATCTGCTGTCTTTATGGCAAAAAATGGTAGCTTCAGTGCCGTACGTGAAGGCGACCGAACCGCATCTACTGGAGCAATACGCGCCTGGAGTCACTAGTGCATATGTAAGCGCAAGACTCGAATCCGCCGCTGTGGTAGTCAGAGAAGGCTTAGAAGATCCCTTAGACGATCTCGGAATGCTGCATCAGCAACTGGAACAACTATCTGTGATCGGTCGTTGCGAGTATGTTCAAACCTGTACTGTTCTGGTGCAACTGTTTGATCGAACGGCCGCTGCTTACCAGGACCTACTGGCTTCTTCCGCTCAACCCGTTGAGATTGCTGTGAAAGAAGGTGCTCTGCTCTGAACCCTCAATCGCGCTCGTCCTTACTTCGGTTTATCTGTTGCAGCACAACTCACCTGGTTAGTTTATATTATTGGAGCTTCGATCGGAGGTCGTGTATCGTTCAATTGCAACGAGGAGCACGACACAATGGATGGAGAACTTGTCTGTCGAGTTCTTCAGTTGATGAATTTGACCGATAATCGGTTGGCTCAAGGTACTGATTATCACTAACACATCATAGGCTTCTGCATGTTCCCCGGTTTTCAGGTGGCTGTGAAAAGTTGGAACTTGCGATGTTAACCTGCTTCGAATACTTTAGGAAAACCTATGTGGGCGATCAAGTTCAACGGAATTCCAAAGTGTACAGGCGGTTATCGGAAGTTCTGGGGTTGAGTGAAGAACCGATGGTGCTTAGCGTATTTATGAGGAAAATGTGAGTGCCCATCTGTTTCTTTTTAATATTCCCTTAAATCGCCTATTCTTGCAGCATAACAAATTTGAAGTATTGGGGACGAAATGAGACGTTAATCGGGAAAACTCTGCATCTTTTAAGCGAACTGTCGGTCGGGTACAGTTGCGTCAGGAAGCTAGTAAAATTAGACGAGGCAAGTCGTGTGCGCAATCAATGTTCATTCCTTCATACTAAGCCTCGAGGATCTTAAATTTCCAGGTCGAATTTATGCTCAACAACCACACAAGCGAGCATTTTCCATTCTTGAGCAACACAGCCCAAGTCAAGGAAATGAAATGCCGTTCGCTGTTTTATACGGCGTTGGGCAGGCTGCTCACGGTGAACTTAGGAGAGGATGAGGAGCGGTTCCATAATTTTTTGTTGCCCTTAACAAGTAAGTACCGGAGATATGTTGAGGTCGAGGGGGTTGTTAAAATATTAGGAACCTTTAAGTTGTCATGCTAGAGAATCTGATCTATGGGGCAAATACATCGGTAATTTGTTTCAGCTTCGTTCGAAAGTTTAGGGCTGCTACTAACCGCATCCGATACGTCCATATTTGTGACCGAAGACGTTAAAAAGGTCCTAATTGGCTTGGCCCGAGACCTGCGAGGATTAACATACTCGTTTATCTCCAAGCTATCATACATGATGCTCTTTGAATGGATGTATCCTTTTTCATGCTTGAAACGCATTTGTTTCTGCTCTCAGGAGTTTTCCTTAACAGGTGCCCAGATATCCAAACTATACTCCAATTTTCCTTAGAGCGATCGAGCTGTGGTACCATGATCCTGAGGTCACAACGCCCGTGCTCAAGTTCTTTACCGAATTAGTTCATAACAGATCGCAACGGCTACAGTTTGATGTTTCATCACCGAACGGCATATTGCTCTTCAGGGAAGCTAGCAAAATTATCTGTAGTTATGGTAAGTGGTAAGCAATGTCCCATATTGGCGACTAACAGCTTTGTTTTAGGAACTCGTATCTTAAACGTAGAGGTAACCAAAGAACAAACGTACTCCATGAAGCTGAAAGGGATTTCAATATGTTTCTCCATGCTAAAATCGGCGCTTTGTGGCAGCTACGTGAATTTCGGCGTGTTTCGATTGTACGGCGATGAAGCGCTAGACAACGTCTTGAATGTGTTCGTTAAAATGCTGTTGTCCATTTCCCATAGCGATCTGCTAGTGAGTGAAATACATTACTCATTCAGACTCATCAGTCTAAATCATCTTTATTTTCAGGATTATCCAAAATTGTCCCAGACGTACTATTCCCTGCTCGAGTGTCTGGCTCAGGACCACATGCCGTTCTTAGCGACAATGGAACCACATGTTTTCCTGTACATCCTCACATCGATCTCTGAAGGAATGCAAGCCTTAGGTGGGCGTTATAATCACTTTACAGGTCCGTGCACGAGTCTGAGCCAAGCGCAGGTTCTGAGTGCAGAACAAGCAGCGAAGACTGTTTTTACATCTATATTAATCGTAACATTGTACTGGTTTCTGCACTTTCTTAGCCTAGATGTAAATGTTTCAGATACCACGGTCTGTACAGGATGTTGCACCACTCTGGACCATATCGTTTCCTATATATTCAAGCATCTGACTCAGAAAAGTAAGCAGAAAACCATGACTGGCACATACATGTGATAACACTAATGGGTTTGCTTTTTAGCTTTCCCTTTGAAAAATCAAGGCAACCCGGCCACAGCAGAAATGTTTCTGAAAGTGCTAGAGATGCACCCGGAGATTCTGCACCAAATCTTGAACTTTATCTTAAATGCCGTGATGTACGAAGATTGCCGAAATCAGTGGTCAATGTCCAGACCGCTACTTGGAATTATCCTGCTGCACGAGGACTATTTTGCGCAAATGCGAGAAAATATCATCAGGTTAGTCTTGAGGAACAGGGAAATCTTGGGGACAATATCCAAACTATGCGCTTATTTTGCAGGAGTCAGCATCCAGATAAACAAGCGATCATGGCCAAATGGTTTGATACTTTAATGGATGGAGTAGAAAGAAATTTGCTAGTTACTAATAGAGATAGGTGAGTCGTATTGTTCACCAAAGCGAAATTCAAATCTGCTTCAACCAGCTTCTTCCATTTCAGATTTACACATAATTTATCAATATGCAGACGAGATATGTACGATTCCCTGAAAGTTTGCAATCCGAACAATTCGGTGACTGATATGATGACTTCATAGCTATTGCATATCGGTCTAAGTGCGATTTGTATAAAGTAAACGAATAAAAGTGGGAAGTGCACGGCGGACCGTTAATAGTTAGTTTATTTATAGTTTCACCGTTACGTTTCTGCATTTAATTTTATTATGATGTAGTCAACTGATTGTCTGTATTGGTATTTAAAATGTAAACTCATTTTTGGACAACCAGCTTATTAAATTCATTAGGTTGTAAAGAATATTCCTAATTTAGACGACTGTTTCAATAAAATCATGAAAACAAAAACCAGTTTTTATGGTTGTCTCAGAATGGGCACTTAAAATTAAATAATGGTGAGTGTTAGGAATCATCGTGTGGGTTTTCATTTCCTGTATACAAAGTATGTTAAAGGATGCAGGATGATCAATGGATTTTACTTGGTTATACTTTGTACATTGTTTATAGACTTTGTAATGTAAAAAACTTGTAAGATTTTTACAAATAATATATGAAGCTTCATTGCAGGAAATTATTTTTTGTCTTCAATCCACTTTGCAACTAACTTCAAGGCAAACGTTTCATTTTTTAATTTGAATAAAAAAACCGAGTAAATTAGCTACCATATAGCTAGATTTATTCGATTTTTTTTAATTCGAAGCGTTGGAAAAAGTTTATTGGCTTATTTACTGATTTTGTGAGCATATCGAGAACTTTCGTTAGGAATCACAAATCGACTTTGATGACAAATAACGAAACAGTAATACCCATAGGATGACTAATGTTTTAATGGAACAGGGTAGCCGAAATAAAAAAACTGTTCTTATCAATAGCATTGATAATTATGTTATTTTTATTATTTTGCGTTATGTACAAACCTAATTCCAAAAAAAATTAACTAGGTACTTGGTTTAACCACATTCAATCGGAATTACTACACTAGTCAGTAAAACCCTGTTTAGAGTATTTTATATGCATATTGGACGGAATGGAGGATGCGCCATAAAAAGTCAAGATTACACAAACACTCGCTTGGTATGGCGTCTGCTTCGTTTTTGAGTACCCGCTCAAAAATGATTTTTTATCGAAAACAGTCCAGCAATTTAAGGGTTTATCGCTAGATCCACCAAGCGGCGCATCAGGATAAATTAAGCCAAACGACTTTGCGCATTTCCAATCAATCCTTACCTTCATGTTCTCCGCTGTCTTCCTTGAGACTCCTGCGTGGTTCGATAAAACCAGACACAATTTCTTCAGTTTCCCGAAATTGCATCATATAAACAACTGCAGGCACCGTTTACGTATCAATCCAAATACGTAACAGTTACTGCTGATTAAGGTTGCTTGATGCTTGGCTTTATGCCGATCTGAAAAGACAAATTAACGCATCAGAACTGATTTTTTCAAATCTCGTTCAGTGATTTTGTTATAGATGTCCACAACTTTGCTATCACGAATTACCTTTCAAAAACATTAAGCAATCGAAAGTGGTTGAGAAGGGTCGGGCAACTATTCATAAAATGCTGTTTGCGTTCCAGTTTGCAATTATATTCTAGGAGTCGAGTGGAAAATAGATTTTCCTCTATTTGTATCCAGGGCCGGTTAACGTCCTCAATCTGATAAGGAGTCACAACAACGTGCACATTTATATCTAAGGAACAGAAACTTCCTCATCATGCAGCACAACATAGAAGCCGATTTGCTTACCAGCTAGACTCAAGGTCTTTAACACGTTTTCGTCAACCACCCAGGTATTTTTGCCCCCAGAATGGCCCCCATCTAACCAGAACATGTCGCGAATCCTGCCAGTTACAGCATCGACTTCCTCGTCGAATTCGTTACTTTTGAAATGGTGCAATTCGTAGAGAAACTGGTTCAATACCACGCAGCCTTTGCTGAATCCAATAATAATCAAATCGAGCTGTAATAAGTTTAGCTTTTGCTGGCTATTCCATTCCTAAAAATTCCATGCATATTAGTCCATAGTTGCGATTAGTTAGACCATGCGGCACTTACTTCGCTCGAGCTGCCTTCATTGGACTGCCCAACTAATCTTTCTTCGACACCTTTTAACAAACGATTCAAGTGTCTGAAGGAGTCATAATTGGGAGTATATGTGGGCACCCCGTCTTCGCTGCTGGTGACAAAGTTTCCAAAACAACTGATCATTTTACAGTGCAACCTATAGAGAAAGTCCTTATTTTTTTTTAATGACGGGATATTGAATAAACGGAACTTACTTGCATGGCCTGATGACTAGAATGTGGCATTCAGAAAACTTATTCTGCAAATCTGAGGCGCAGGATTCCAAGTTCCATTTTTTGTAAATTTCGACGTCGTGGTTCGCTTCCATGTTTTCGATATAATCCTGAAAACGAATAAAAAATCAATGAAATTCTGATGTAAAGTAAAAGCAAAGAAAGCACTCGCTTGAACATCCCCAGGGAAGAAAATCACCACTTTGGTTGAGGACGAATCGACCAGCGGTTTGCAGTAGACTACATCGTTTGTCCTCTCTTTAAAACCGGCAACTTGCTCCAGTCGCAAAGGAACCATTTCAGCTGCAAAAGAAAACCAAAATTGCGGCTAGTTTCATTAGAGATTCAATTGATACTTGAATAAGAGCATAACGATGTTTCAATTTATCATATTTCCCGGTCGAATCGTGCATTCGGTGCCGTCTAAACGCATCTAAAAATACATTTAATATTTCGGTCCAGATCGCAGTAAGTTCAAAGGAATAGAGGAAATTCGGGAAAACCTTTCAATGTTTCGCAATGTTCTTTCAGTTCTAGATGAGCTCCCAGCGCGCTTGAACGTGGCCAGTTTTCTAAAAATAAAGAGGCAAACGATCTGCTTTCTTTCTGGTTAGTTGGACGCTGAATGGAGCGTTTCATCAAAACTGATTTCTGGCTGTAAGTGAGGAGACTGGAAGATGTCCTAGAATCCAGGAACATATGGAGGAACGACGCGAAAAGGCAATCAGGAGCATGTCTCGTTCGAGGACGCCAATGAGACATTCGTACAATGTCCCGAAAAAACAGCATCGAAGGCATCGCGAAAAACTCAAAGACTGTTGCCGGAAAATGGTGGCTTTTATGTGCACTCAAGTAGGGGTGGGCGCACTCATAATCGGCTATACTGTGATCGGCGCCGTAGGTTTTATGCATATTGAAAAAAGGTAAATTCCATTCCAGTTCCAGATAATCAATCTTCTAAGTTTACACATGGCTATGGACAAATCTTTTTGCTATTTCACTTTTCATTGCTATTCCACCTAAAAATCACAAAATAGTAGCAAAAAAAATACCCTTTTCTGTAAAACTATCAGTGTATAAGAATGAAATCAGAAATAAAATCAGCAGTTCTCAGTGCCCGTAACTCAGAGGTGACCGAAGTGTCCATGCTCAGAAACAAGACTTTGAAAATGATCTTCGCTGCAGTGATGAAAAACAACATCTTCGATCGCAGGCAGTTTCACGCTGATGTCGACCAGGTGCTGAAAAACCATCAGCTCGAAGTCACCAAGGTGTTTAAGCATGGTGAGAGGCCCAGAATGTTATGCAACTATCAGTTTGATCAACATGAGTTTTGCCAGGATATGACGAACGTTCGATGGAAGAGGTTTGGAGTTTTCCTGCAGCTCTAATGTTTTGCCTGAGCATCATCACCATGGTGGGATACGGAAACATGGTGCCGAAGACCAAAGAGGGCAAAATATTGACTATGGTGTATGCTCTATTCGGAATTCCTCTTTACATCCTCTACTTTATGGTATGAGAAAGTGACTCGATTTGCTTTAAAACTTGGCCAATCGCAATTTCAACTAAATATTTATATGAAATTAATACACAAACATCGAGAATAGACTGAGTAATCCCAAATGCCCCAATCTATACAAAATAGATCAATCGACAATTGCTTTTTTCACTTTTTAAGATCATTAATTGAGAAACGCATTTCAGAACATGGGAAAAATCCTAGCAGGTAGTTTCAAGTGGATTTACAGAAGAATCTATGAATGCTCCACTGAGAAAGACGAGGGCAGCACAAGAAAAAAGATCATCGTCCCAAGCACTGCCTGTCTTTGGGTTATTTTCGCCTACATTTTGACTGGCAAGAACGAATAATCACCGCCCGTAAATTTCTGATTTTACTGGACGATTTCCGCAGGTGCCATCATGCTGAGCGAATGGGAGAAATGGGACTTTTTGGACTCGACATATTTTTGCGTCACCTCATTGGGCAAAGTGGGCTTTGGCGATCTGGTGCCTGGAGCGGACGTAAATGCCTCCAACCATGGAAGCCAAACGAAGCTGGTGATTAATTTCGTCTACATTCTACTGGGTATTTTAATCAGGTCATTGAAGAAGGAAAACTCGAATTTATTTGTTGTTTCAGGACTGGGTCTGGTTGCAATGTGTTACAACCTGATGCGGGAGGAAATCAAAGTGAAACTGAAGGAAATGAATGAGGACTTCAACCAGTGTTTGGAGGACACCAAAGTGCGATTTTTGAACTGCTGCCAAAGATGCAGACGAAAAAAGTACCAGGAATACTGAACTTGTTAACCCTGAAAATCGTCTAGTTACTGTATTTTGATTGTTAACAAAAAATTTTTTTAAATAATCTGGTTTGATTCTTCGCTGTTTTCCACCTAAAAGCAACCATGAACTCGATTTGCATGACTTGATGTTTATTTTAAATTTCCTTTCAGCTTAACGAAAACACGTCTTCCAAATAAACGAGTTTATAGCGATATGTAAACAATTCAATCACGTTCATTGTAAACAATTAGGCAAAAAAGCGATTAGTTTTCTCTTGTTTAAACGAAAGAATTTGACGAATTTGTTGTTTTCGACGAATAATCAACTAGAATACCTTTAGTTTACACAATACTGACCCTATATACAGGGTGTCCTGTAAGCACATGATCAAAAGGGTGCGGAGATATTCTTTGGATCAAAAGACGGTCTGACCTAAGTTCTTTTCAGTCCAAAAAATCAAAATTTCTGGAAACACCGGGAGAATGGTAGGTACGATGGATTTTAATGAAATTCGCTATGAATTCGTTCATATGTAAGACTCATGTTTTGAAGAAGCAACCGAGTTGTGCAAGTACCTTTCGTAAGCATCTATTCACCCCTTTAAATAGGTATAAAACATTATATTATGGCGTCATTTGCTACAAAAGCAATTTCAATTAATGAAAATGATCGAAAACCGCATTTCCACAAGGAACCGCGTTTAAAAAAAGTGGTTTCGAAAGCAGAACCACATAGACTAGATACGCTGCGCAAATTAGTGTCCGCGCACGCTAGAAACTTACCAAAAAAAGTTATCTGCGGCTTATAAAGAATCAATTCACAGACTATACACTATTATTAATGATTAAATGTATAAAATACGCAAAAATTGCACAAAAAAAATTAAATTTGGCGAGTAAACTTGTTTGACATCAGAGATTTGACATTCTGTTGACATCTTTATTCTGCACATTTTGGTTATGTTGAGTTTTCTGACCGAACTCCAACTTATTGGCGTTTTTACGCTGTACTTAAATAATTTCAATATAATTAGCAATAAACCCGAATGGTAAAAGTACAAGTCTTTCTCCATAATACATCATTTTGCTTAACAGGCGCATCATTGCCGAAAGAAGATTTGAGGTTAGCTCACAAGTCAATCTAGTATTTTGTCAACAAAAAAGTTAAGTTTGGTAGATGGTTTGGTAGTCTTGTGGGTAATCCGTGGGGCAATGCAGCGAGACAGGCGAAATAATGCGGGAAACCGCATGTCCAAGCTATTAGACGATGAAGAAGAGTGCCAGGATGAATTCTACAAGCAAAACTATGGAGGTTTTGAGGATTCCGAATCCGACAATGAATATCAGTAAGCCCCTGTTGATTATGCCCCATTCGTAATAGCAATGCTTTTGAATCCTGCAGGGCGGAAGAGGAAGGCGAAGATTTGGTAGACTCCGACTTTAGTATTGACGAGAATGACGAACCAGTGTCCGACAACGATGGCGAAGAAAACCAAAAGAAAACTCGTCGACTGGTCACTAAAGCCTACAAAGTACCTACATTGCTATACGTAGTCATATATATTAACGTTGCACCCTTTTAGGAACCTGTGACGGCCCCAAAGGAAGCCGCTAAGTCTAAGCCCCAGGTTCCCAGAGTAAAAACTTGCCAATCTTCAAGCATGTTAAATTTATCAGGTAAGACCTACTATTGAAATAGGAAACGTTGCAAGTGATACGAGAGTACACTTCAAATTCTAGAAAGAAAATCCAAAAGGAAATCGACTGCAGCTAAAACCGCAGAAACCGCCTACAGAGTAAAAGTGCGAGATCAGGAGCTGAAGATGAAACCGAAACGCCCCAGAGAAGAGGAGTGGATTCCAACTCAAGAAGAGTTGCTAGAAGAAGCCAAAACCACTGAATTGGAGAACCTGAAATCGCTGGAAAAGTACCAGAAGCTGGAGAATGAGAAGAAAACCAGAAGGATCATTAAGAAGGCGTATAGTGGGCCGCTGATCAAATACACCTCCACTAGAATGCCCTTGATAGAAGAGCTAAAGACTGAAGCAAATAGGTAGACATTCTAGATGCTGTTTGTATCGTTTAATTTCCATGGTTGGTATAAAGGATCTTTTGGCAGGGACGAGGAAAAATGCTACGAAAGAACTTTCATCACCGTTCTGAATGATCCACACGACGTAGTCTTCAAAAAAGTGTTTAACGTCAAGCGAACTCCTGCAATTCCCAAAAAACTCAAATGCGCAGTGACAGGGTAAGTACTTTTTTACACGAGCCGTTTCAACCAAAATTTCTCCCTCTAGGTTAATAATATTAATAATAATAAAGTACCTAAGTAAAGATGAAATATTTTAAAGTTTGTCATTACTCTTAGTTTGCCCACCTTTCTCTAAGTTCAAGTGGTGAGATTCCATCCATTTCCACTTCTAATCACTTTAAGGTTCACTAATTTTTCACTTTTCCCGGAAATTTTTCGTAGAACTTTTTCTGTTTTCTGGGGACCGATAGATTTTATTGCGACAGTTTGTCAGTTTGACAACTGAACGTCAGGCCATCAAATATTGCGATACGTCAGAAAATTGGCGGGAAATTCAAAATCTAATTAAATCAATTTGGGCAAATATTCGTGTTAGGTAGTAGCAAAAAAACTTATATTTATACTTATTCTTATACTCCGAATGTAAAAGTGGTACTTCTCGCATAGGTAATATAATACACTATTTCCTAATAAATGAACAAGCAAGTGATTTTGAACGGTATTCTTGGTTCTTTCCAGTTTACCAGCTTTATACGTTGATCCCGTAACGTGGGTGCCGTACCGAAACAGCACCTGCTTAAAAATAATCCGCCAATCATACTACCAAGAGTTGGAAAAGAATGGCGATAAGAGTAATCCAATGGTAGCTGACTTTGTGAAATGGTACAGCAAGAATAAGGACAGACTTAAAAAGGAGATGATTCTACATGCCCAGAAAATTAACATTACTGCATAAGGCTGGATTTACGGATGTAAATCGAATCACATATTATGATGATGATTGTTCACACGACAGGGAAAAGGTCAAATAAGTTGCAACATGTAAACAATTAAAATATGCGCGAAATATTGTTTATTTAAACCACTCTGAAAATCGCTTAATCCGGTTTTTATGTAAAACAATAACATTAACTTGATCCAAAACATTCTTGGTTGGCGCTAGATTTAATAAGATTAAGGCACTTTTAATGTCTATCGATAATATGTATAATAATATGACACAATAAATCTTACAATATAAATATATCAATTTTGTTTAGATAAAGTAATTGGATATTCGATGTCTATCCTTCCGGGTGGGTTTGAACAACCAGTTGCAGTCATTCAAGCGATATTTGGCTTCTATTCTTGTAAACATCTTGGATGTTGAACGTGCATTAATCTCCGAACTTTTCCTAAGTTAAAACTGTCTTCGTTTCGCTTGATATGCAATGATGTTAGCAAATAATCGTCGCTCAAATATCGCTCAGTTAAATTTCATAAAATACCATTAACTATTTGTGCGTCAATTCACTGTGTTATTGGCCTTTTTAATATTCTTAACGTAACAATGCACTATAATCGCTCAAAGTTGCTATAAAAACTATAAGTACAACATTTAATATATTAATTTACATTTAGTATAACATAATAAATATTGAGTGAATAACTGAAACGCACACGTCCAAATCCTTGTTGATTGTAGGCCCACGTTTCGCATTCCCTCAATTTACATGAAAACCGACCGTTTGAAAATTGAGATTGCACTTGATCAAGAGAAATTACGTAAAACTCAAAACACCTAACGCCTATCCTTGGCTCGACTAATAATATACAGATTCTGCGAATATTGCTTGTTTATTGCACATAAACTCGCGAGTATTTAATCGTATTGCCTTCAAGTAATAGAAATAAGCCAGGACGGAAAATAATAACTGTCGAGAAAGAAAATCATACAAGCCTCAGTACAAAACTAGTTTTTTTGGCTTGTAGCTTGTTTTTGTAAACGACGTGTTTTGAAGTATTGCTTCCGTTACGCAACTCACAATAACATAATACGTACCTTTCCTATTGATTAGTTAACGCTAAAAATTGCGTGCCCAACGACGGGATTCGGAAAAATCTACAAACTTTGAAATTATTCCAAGTATTTACAAACTGCGGCCGATTGATTTCGAAAAAGTCACTTCAGTTAACGAATAGATTTTTCCTGTTGCCCATCAGTTGATACACACTCATATCTATCAATATTCGATACATTTTCAAGAAATTGGCACTCAAAAATTGTTTGTACTTTAATAAAAAGTATTAGTAGAAATTAAGATTAAGTTTTTGAACCTAAAGCTAGATTGTGTTTAGCAACGTAATATTGCACCGGCAAAATAAAAGATCAACAAACATCTAAAACAATGCAAAAATACTTAATATCATAACAACGATCAATGATAAAATGAGATTCGGGTTTGAATAATCTAGCTTTTACTTTACCAGTCGTATTGACTGCTTGACGAAGCCAGCCGTTGCATAATAGCTGAAAAAGTGAAATGAAAAACTACTTCCATTACTACTGGAATTGAACACCTCAACATAAACACTTTTAATTGAAAAGCCGCATTTAGCTCTGCATATGTTAAGATTTCAAATCGAGTATTGCTTGCTTTATCTGGACTACAACTGTTGAGAAGGTTTACAGCACGACTTGGTCCAAAACATGCTTTTAGTTAAAATTAAAAATAATTTGCCTGTAAACCGTACTCCGCATTCGTAGTCCATATATGCTTATAATACGGTGAATCAAGTTGAAAAATATGATCACAAATTAGACAAAAATAGAAAAGTTAGTGGTTCAAGAGCCATCGAACTCAGTTAGCTGATAGCTCTAGATATAAGTAAAAACAATGAAAAAAATTGTCCCTTTGCAGGAGGTTCGACAGCTCTTGGTTAGTGATGTAGTTAAGTTAACTGACATACCGCTACCCCATAAGTCTAGCAATTATCCGGCACAACATGGTTCCCCTTTGATGGGTTCCACGAAGACGGGTTAGTCGATTGGGTTGGCTTAATTGGACAACGGGTGGGGTGACGTGTGTTTGGTTAGCACCTTCTTAAAGCTGGCCCAATAATTGGTTAACAGGAAAAGAAAGAAAAACAGATTGTTAGTATCTTTGTTTTGATTAAATCAAAAAAAAAACGTGATTGTAAATTCAGTTTGGCTAACTTGCGGGCTCTCGCCCCCCAACTAGATTTAGCAATGGACAAGCAGTTTTGGGTTTTTTAATTCAAAATTGTTTATAGTACCAGTGTCTTGTCGAGAAAACAATTTGGTTTAGTGAAAGAAATGTTTCACTCGTTTAATTTTAGTGTATTCAAAATTAATTAATTTACAGGCTGTTTTCATCAGTGGTATTTTTTGAAAACGCTTAGTTTGCGATCATATGGGGCTCTAACATTTTCTCAAGCAAGATCAGGGTGTCCCGTAAGCACATGATCAAAAGGTTACTGAGAGATTCTTTGGCTTAAATAAACACGGCACGACCTAACATTTATTAAAAAAAATATTCAGCTGTAATTTTTTAAAAGTTTCTACTCGCTCATAAAGAAAAATCCATAACTTCCAAACTAGCGCGAGTAACGAGTTAAAATTTCTACTCGGCGAATGCAAAACATTCACTAATCTGCAAACCGAATTTCATTGAAATCGAAGAACGGGCTGATTTTTGGCAACCGATTATATTAGAAGTTGTATGTAAAATGCTAAAAATTTCTAGATGACGACAAAAAAAATTCATAACTTTCAAACTTGTGCGAGTAGCGAGTTCAAATTTCCACTCCGTGAATACAAAACATTCACGAATCTACACACTGAATTTGATTTAAATCGAAGAACGGGCTGATTTTTGGCAATCGACTATATTTGAAGTTGCATG